CCCCCCCCCCCAACACACACACACACAGACACACATGTACATACGTGACATGAGATTATATATGCATGTATGCGTGCATACTGAACACCATATGAGCAACACGTGGACATGATTAAGTGTGTGCGATTTTTCCATGGGTCGTGGATAAGAGCAGGTTTATAATTGCACACATAGCCACTCGCATGTGGAATCGCGATCCGAAAGTCCTCAAGAGCTTCCTCCTCTTCATCAAGCTGCTGTTTTTTGATTGAATCTCCTTGCCACGACGGGGGGTGGATCTAGGGGTCGAGCGGACTCTGCGGCGCTTCCTTTTCCCGGTTTTGCTTGGGGTCACCTCCTCCTTGGAGTCCGGGCCATCCTCCTCATTATCCTCCTCCTCCGTTGTCTCATCGTCTTCACCTAGCGTGCCGTCGTAGGCTGGCATTGGCTCTTTACCCAGGACCGGCCCGGGCAACTCACACGTCGGATCGATGATCTCAAAGCAAAACGAAAACTCCTCGGTGTTCGTGGTTGCCAAAGTCCCACTTGTCTGGACATCCACCCAGAACTCACGGATCTGCTTCTGGTACTTATCACGTCTCACGAGCGTCTTGCGTCGCTCCCGCGAGGCAAGGCAGTACTCCCTCACCGCCTTCACCCGGTCCCTGAGCTAGACTTGCATACACATGTGCAATCCGAATCTTTGCAAAGCTTCATGATGACCATGTTGGGTTGGGCTAATGATAAAATAGCCAGGTTGCTTGGAGAAGCCCAACGTAGTCTTCATTTTTTCTTCCGTATAAAACCCACTGACGATCTCCACTTTCCCCTCTTTCTTCTGCTTGATCATGACTTCCATTCTGGCATTGAACTTGTCCTGCACAAATTCGCAGAAAATACTCAACTAGACCCACCTCAAACTCACCATGGAAATGCATTGATGTATACACACTCGATCCTGGTCTCCGTTGCATTGAATGAGGTTTCCCAGCAAGATCTTACGAAACTTTGTGCACTTCCACTTCTCGGCCACCTCGGTCGATACCTGCAAAGTGCCTCGCTTCGCCGATGGCTTACACCATCGTCGGAGCTTTGCATCCATGTTGCGAAACTGCTGGCGGGTGATCTGAACGGGCTTTCGCGAAGGTACCTCAAACAAAACAACTTGGAACACTTATTCTACAACTGATGCATACGTAGACATGAACAGATCATGCATATCTAGATCGCCACCAAGAAACCCCATTGGACTCTGCTGGTGTATCAGCAGCCGAAGCTGACTTGGACTCACTTCCAGGCGAGGAAAAAGTCTTCTTGGTTCTGGGAGTTTTGGGGGCCCGATTCGTGGTCTTTGCAACCTCAGCCTTCCCAGACTTTGGCTCGTCACTGCTTGGCTTTAACCCCCCCTGTGGATCTGTGCTTGTCTTTGGCTCCGGAACACTGCTTGGCTTTGTCCCCTGTGGATCTGTGCTTGTCTTTGGCTCCGGAACACTGCTTGGCTTTGACCCCTGTGGATCTGTGCTTGTCTTTGGCTCCGGAACACTGTTTGGCTTTGACCCAGACGGATCTGTGCTTGTCTTTGGCTTCGGAACACTGCTTGGCTTTGGCTCCTGCGAACGTGGCTCCGGAGCTGTGCTGGGCTTCGACCGCAACCGTGGCGCCACCGAGGGCCGAATGGGCTTTGCGGCTGCAGCCAAAGCAGGCACACTTTCCTTCTGATAGGCCTTATCAAGCTCCTCATGGGCGGACTCGATATCAACATCAAGCTGCGTTTCCGGAAAAGTAGAGTCACCGACCTCACCCAAATCGTTCGCATGGCGCCAATAAACATCATTCGAAATCACATGATCCATCTCTTCATCCGGCACCTGATATAGACACACAAACAACTGAAAGTCACATTGCATTTCTTGTACACACACATTTTTACGTGTAAACAAACGACTGATGCTTCTTGCTAACGAAACTGATTCTTGCTTTGATTGAGGGCCTGAACCTTTTTGCAAGCAAGAGACTGTCGGCGTCGTAGGCTCCTCGGGGGCTTCATGGGTATTCTCGTCCTTGCAAGCCACCTTCTGCAGCATCTCCCGAAGTTCATTGTCGTCCTTAGATCCAACCAACAAAACTTCCACAGCAAAACAGGTCCAACACATATTGCACAAACACGGGATCGAATGCTTTATTCTGATCAGACCAGCCACACAATCCACCTCGCAGATCAAGACATCATCATCATCATCGTCATCTGCTGCTGCATGAGCCATGGAGCTCGATGGCCCCGGCACCTCATCATGAACTCCTTCTCCCCCATGAACTCCTTCTCGCCCATCAGCACCCTCTTCGTCTTCAAAGAAGTCTGTGGGCTGAGCATCAGATGAAACGACTCTGGGCAAAGCGAGGCAACAGCGGGACGGGGTGGCCACGGGTCGGGGTCGTGAAGTGGGTGGTCTGGGGCTGGGGATATCACATGTTGTTGTCACAACAGGGTCTGCCAACACTGGCTCAGAAGGCGCCGAAGAGTCGGCTTCCTTTCCCGTTTCTGCAGCAGACAAGCCCTCTTGCTGCTGAAGCAATTCGGCTTTCTGCTTCAGGGCTCGAAGGGTCGCCGCGGCCACCTTGGAAGCAATCTTATCTGTCCAAGTTCTGTACATATTGGGTATATATATACATATGTATAAGACAACTAACAAAACGCTATATACCACTATCTATGGCAAGGAACCCTCAGATCCTCCTCGATATTCTCCCGACCAGGCTCAGTCTTCACTTGGTTCTTCATAAAGGACTGCCCTTTATAGAGACTAGCACAGCTAGCGGCGTTGGAAAGGAGGCGCAAAGGACGCCCTTTGGTCATTTTCCTGGCAAAGACCTTGAAGAAAAGTGCTTCGGAAAGGTGTGCTAATTTCCGGCACCGGCGCTACGAGTTTTTACGGCACTCAGCAAGAAAGTTACGGCACTGCACGCGTTTTTACGGCACTGCGGTTTTTAGCCCAAAACCACAAAAAGTTACACAAAACCTTAAAAAGTTACAAAAAACCTTTAAAACCTGCATAACTCTGTAGAACCCAGACCGGGGCTTGTATACTTGTACTCAGAAAGAAACAGACACCACAGAGGAATTCACAGGCAATGACAGTATGGCTCCGGTTAGTTTTGGCGCGGCAGGAGCACATCAATCAGCTCTCTTTGTAGCTTTCGGCTATCTCATGCAACATCTGCTTCTGCTTGTCGGAGATGCGCAATCGCTTGTTGCCGTACAAGTACTTCAGAACTTTGCCAATGTGTGCATCCTCCCACACATCTCGTGGGACTTCTTGGAAAATATACTGCTTCACCCGCGTCATCGAAAACTCCTGGACTATCACTGCTGTATTAACAGACATAACCATGCACGGCACATATACCTCACATCACTTCACAGAAAAGCAACCAAGCGGCATCCACATTGCGATCCGTGCGCCACATAACAGGCTCCATAGCAAATCGGGGCCAAATCTTCGAATATCTCGTTGCGAATTCAAACGGATATTTCCTCAGCCGAAGTCAAGCGGGAACAACAGCAATTAAACTCCCCGAACAAATGCTGACGAGGTTCGCTGAATGCTTCAAGCTCTTCTTGCATCCGGTGAAGCAGTCCTTGCCCTTCTTGTCCCGATAATGGTGTGCCAAAAATCTCCGGCTTTTCTTCTTCTCCAACCTGGTAAGTTTGGCAAATGAATTGAACTTCCAAATCGCCTTTGAGCTGCTCCATAAAACTGATCTCTTGGGTGTTGGAGCCCCCAAGCAACCCATCCAGAAGGATTGCCGAAACACCTCAGATCCCAACAAACCATACTCGACCTACTATATAGAACATTTATACTGGTCCAACAGCATGCAAACGGAAGCAAGACTGGTCGCATGAACATACCGCAGCATCTCCTGGAATCGCCGATGTCTATACATCAGAGAGCTTCCAGGCTGTTCCAATACCCAGTGGCATCCCAATGCCATTAGCACCCAGCATAGTAGCACAAACCTGCACACACCAGAGATTTGTCTACATCAGTCTGTATCACGGCATGCTGACATCATGAAACGACACAAACGGCCTTGCCACCATCACGTTGGCTTGCTGCACCGAGGGCGAGGACTCATCCCCATGGGGGCACAAAAACCGTCTCCCCGTGGTGTATCTGCTCATCATAACCCAGCTCGAACATACCAGGCCGAAGTGAAACGTAGCTCCAGATTTGGCCTTCATCGCTTGCAGCAGCAACAACCTTGGAAAAGGTTCGCACCGAAACCCACAACACAGATTCAACAGCATGCAAACTAAGGCGTCAAATATAAAGACCATGGCACGCGAACCCTGAATCTTCAAGTAAATCCAGTGGATTTCGGGTGGTTGGATGGAATTTGGCAGTCTTCTGCCAGTACGTGATATCCATCGCCGGCATAACCAGTTGCCGCTGCAGTCTCAAGACAGTACTCAGAACACCAGCTCCGGCGCATACGTCACAACCGTCATACTCCTGCCAATGCACCACTATATAATTAACCCTCTATTATACTTTGCACGATCCTCCAAGCTGGCCTTCTTCAAATCAAGGCCCTCCGTGTGGAGCAGAAGGAGGACCAACATCACCAAAACCTATAGCTGGGGACTTTGAGGAAGCAAGGTTGCGCTCACACATCCACACGTGTACACATTGTTTGAGTCAAGGAGCTCCTGGGACTTTATTGTCCAGCAGATCTTTGAGGATCTCGTAGTGTCGTCCCATGTTATCAACACACAAAGCTTCGGTGTCGGGCTTGACCAAAGGCTGCCACATGCCAATGTGCAATCTAAGCAACCAAATGCATGGTTCCATCTCCAGAAAACACAAACTGCTGAGAGGCACAGGGAGGAGGCACCTGATTGGCCACGTCGAAGCTTCCAAGCGCGGCTCATCGATAGCGCTGGTTTGTACCTGGCAGACACTATTTTATCCCACACCCAACTATCAAGTCTATATCCTGAATGAAATTGTTTCTGCTCGCCATTCGTCTCCCTTCGATTCGTGGCATACTGTGCTGCAGGAAAGCACTGCACGACAAATTTGAGGCCCCATCTGAAATGCATAAGCACATGGCCACAAGCAATCAAACAACAGCCCCTTAATGACACCTAAGTTGTCTCAATCTAGCAAGTTGGCTCCATGTGCATTGAACCCTGCCAGTGTGCATGATTCGCCAAGCAAGGATTGCCCTGCCAGCAGCACATGCATGGCTCCCTTCAAATCAAACAGAACATCTCACATCCTGTTGGATGCACGGCCTCGCTGGCTCACGGCTCTGAATGAGGGATCGCGGCATCTTCCACAGCCGTTCTTAAGGTACCGGCACTTTGCACAACCCAAACCAGCCCGCTCAGCGGGCGCTGGCCCTCCGCGGCCACGCCCACCGCGACCACGCCCACCACGTCCACGTCCAGCCGGTGCCGCTGGCTCCTCGAGCGCCGGGGCATCTGGATTGGCCTGATCAGGCCTTGCGATGGCCTTTCCTTTTGCTTTGGCCTTCGGTTTGGCCTTTGCTTTCGGTGCCGCGGGAGCTGTCGAGGCCTTGGCCTTGGGAACTGCCTTTGCTTTTGCTTTCGCCTTCGCTTTTGCCTTGGCCTTTGGGGAGCCCTTCTTCTTGGGGGACGCCTTCTTTGCAGGGCGGCCTCTCTTCTTCGGCCGCTGCTCCGCACTGGCCACATTCTGGTCCTGGGCCGACAGCGTCACATTGACCTGCCGCAAAAAACAAGCCGTGGCAATAACAGACTTCATCGATAACACACAGTCCTCTGCAAAGTATGGTACTATACAAAGCACGAATCTATAGACGCCCACATACCAAACACCGTAAACGAGGAATATACCTATGTTCAGTGATGAAAGTCGACACAGATATGCCTAGCATTATGCCACGTGTTATGTATACGGGTTTATTTATAGGTAGAGAGAGATAGAAAAGAGAGAGCTCCATGTTATTCCCGTATAGTATGTTACAGTGGCAGTCGCAGTATATACGGCAGCAGCAGCAGGAGTGTGTAGTAGTTGTAGTAGTAGTAGTAGTAGTAGTAGTATAGTAGTATACTAATAGCAGCAGTAAGATTAGTATTAGTAGTAGTAGTAGTAGTAGTAGTAGTAGATAGTCTAGTATAGTATAGTATAGTATAATATAATATAGTATAATATAGTATAGTATAATATAATATAATACAATATAATACAATATAATATAATATAATATAATATAATATAATATAATATATTATGTACATATATATATATAATATAC